TGTGTGTGTGTGTGTGTGTGTGTGTGTGTGTGTGTGTGTGTGTGTGTTTGCATTTTAAACAATGGTATTTTCCCATAGCCACAAAACCACTCTATATAAGAAAATAAGTCACATTTGCCACGTAGAAGCAGGAACTATGGGACTGGTTATAGCTGACTTCTGTCTCTGATTTCTCCATTCCCATTATTCTGTTTGACATTTCTGAAGCCAGTTTTACATTTTAGTAGAGTCATAAATAATGGCAATAACCTGGAAAGGTTGGAATATACAAGAATGGAGAAAAGAGATAAATAACATATGCATGTCTTTACGTTAAAAGGGCAAGGGGGCATTAAATGTTGGGTGAACCCAGTTCCAAGCAGAATACACTGAGAGACTGGGAAAAAATACATGTCAGTCCCTAGACTTCCAATTCAATAGGAGGGTGGGTCCTTCCCCATCTTGAGGCTACTTTGAGGGTGTTCTACCAGGGCTCTTGCACTGACAGTTAGCACAATTCAGTCAAGTTTAAGCTGAGAAGGGATCTGTTCCCCAACCTGCCTACTCCTCCAAAGCTGAGGCCACTGCACTGAACAACGCCAGGGAGAACCACTCCCAGCTCCACCTTTGCTATATGACCCACTCCTTCACCCTGCAGCCCCGCGTTAGGCCTTGTAGAAAAAAAAAAAAATATTGCAAATTGCTCTCATTTTATTTTCTCTGGATTATCCCTTCTTGCGTTTATTTTTGAGGAGCAGATATTTAAAATTTAGATTTTCCTTTTCCACAACAATGGAAAACATATGCAATTCATTCACAATTTACAAACTCAGCAAATGGAGGCATTTCTAGGCATTGCTTTTTTTTGTTTTCAAATGTAGTTAAGAAAATGGCTCTGTATGGCTTCTGTTGGAGCTTGAAGGGCGGCAGGGTCTTGCCTCTGTCCCCAAACAGTATAACTAAAGATTCTGAGGCTATTCAATACTCTGTGCCAAGAAGTGAGTGATTTCTGTGAGAAATAATAGCCAGCATAGATATAGCTAAAGGAAGGCAGGAATGGAGCCTCGAATTTGCTTGGAATCTACAAATCTCACCTGAAGGTTGTTTACAAAGGGGCTGGAACTGAGATAAGGCTGGATTTGAGAATGGCCTGGGGAAGCAAGGCTACCAAGGTGACAGCATTCAGTTGGGAAACCTAAGACAAGCACTGTCTGATGAGGACGATGATCTGACTGATCTGACTGAACCTGAAGACTAAATCTGCAGGATTGAGAGGAGATTAGAAGTAAATGATTATAAAGGTTACAGAAAACACAGTGGCAATGCTTCAAAAACAAAACACTGCTTTCCTGTCTGAGTAATGACAAGAATATGAAATCAGCAGCCTCAGTTGACATTCATGTCCTGCTGTGGGGAGAGGACAGGAATTCGGGTTTGCACTGAGCCATCCAGTTCATCTCCACTCCACTGGACCCAAAACTGGATAATTATATTCCTCTTTTCTTTCTGATTCATCTTTCATCAAAAAGCTCTATGACCCATCATGTCAATAAAACCAACAAAGATGGCTGGGAAGGAAGTGTCCAGATATTTCGAGGCTTCCCAAACCAAGGAAATTATATATTTCAACCATTTATACTGATTTTTTTTAAATGCCAAGCTATGCGGCTCAGCTGTCAGAGCTGTGGAGTGAAAATAAAATTAGGGGCCAAATGCCTAAACCCTCAAGAAATGTCATGGAGAAGAAGCAAAAAAAAGTAAAAGCTTTTCCTTATTATTATTTTCTTAATGTTTAAATGTATGGATTTGTTATCAGTGCTCTGAAAATGGAGCCATTGGACCAAATGCTTATGTTTAAGAAATGCTTTGGACTTAAACAAACACCATTTTCTTTTCTCTTGGATTAATTTACTTGCAGATGTGTGACATAGTTCGGGAATATATACCCAGCTGAAAAATACAGACGAGGGCAGGGCAGAACTTAATTTCTTACTATTCAGACTTTATTGAACAGACAACATAGCTTTCAAAAGAAACATGAACTTCTCTTATTCACTTCAGGGACAGAGAGATGGAATCGAAAGCAGAAATCAGTTTCCTCCAGTGACCAAAAATAGCATTTTAAAATCTTGTAGTGTTTTGTATTTGCTGCTGTTTTGATTTTTTTTTTTCTTCTTTTCCTTGGCAGGCTTGTGCATTACTAAGCAGTCCAGTCCTACTGCATCCTTGGTCCTGCACTTATTAGCGGTAAGGATGCATTAAGTGGCTATGCGGCAGTAGGGAATTCACATCATCTCTCTGGGCCATAGCTTTTCTCTGTAAATTGAGTGAGTTTGGCTAAACCATACCCTGTTCCAGTGTTTTGGTCAATTTTCTAGGTCTTTGTAGGTTTATCGTTTGCATGTCCCCCTGTTGGAAGATGGAATCTCTTACTATAGCCCGAGATACTAGAAGATCAGCTAGTTAACGGGCTACAGCCGAAGAGAACATTCCTATCGAGTTGAGAAAGAGACCGTGGGTGGTGAGTCTAGTATAGAGCCCTAGGAATCTAATGCCTCTTTTCCCCTTTCCCATTAGATGGTTTTTTCCTGTTTTCAGTATAGTATTTTATAGATTTGTACTTCACTTTGGTATCTAAAGAAAAAACACATTATCATTCCCATGGATGATTAGAAAACAAAACTTTGAAAAATTAAATTCATGCCAGGATCTTCCCATCTCAGAATAGCTGGGAAAATATTTATATTGGATGTTGAGCTCATGTCAAATGGCCAAACAATGATTATAGGGAGGTTGTTGTCCTGATTATACATTATCTCGTCGTTATGATTCAATAGTTTGTTAAATAATTTTAATATTTAAAATATATTTTGTTGTCCTATAATAACTATAATTTTAAATCGTGTTTGTGAAGTAACTTTATTTACAAATAACCTCTGTCTTAGTGAAATAATTTTGCTTATTAGTAAAACTAAATATTGCTCCTGTTAAACAGAATGAATTGTAAGACTTATGGGGTGTGTTAGTTTCCTAAGGCTGCTGTAACAAACTGCCACAAACCAGGTGACCTAGAACAACAGAAATTTATTCTCTCATGGCTCTGGAGGCCAGAAGTCCAAAATCAAGTGTCAGCAGGGCCAAGCTGCCCCTGAAGACTCCAGACTCCAGAAATTCAGAATCAAATTGCCAATACAATGGCAGAGTAAGTGATAAAGAAAAGCTGGAGGTGGAAACGGGACTGCTGTGGGGTCAGAGATACACATCAGGAACGTCACTCTAACAATTCTTTGCTCTTCTCCTAACTGAAGGTGTAGCCTTGTTGATCATTGGTTTCCGTCAAGAATCCAGAGGGGCACTGATGTCTGCCCATAAGTGTGTAAATTTTCAGCATGTCTTTCCTGAATGGGCATGAAAAAGCTGTGAAACACTGGGAAACTGAGATGCTCTATTCTAGCAAGACCCCACCTGGCAAGAACCACGTCTACATCTGTAGCTAAGTATCAGGGACTTGGTCTCATTTTGTAGTGGTTGTGCATGTGTCGTTTCTTCCAGCCTACCTTAAGTAATAAACTTTCCAATTCCTTTGTCCATTCTGGGTTCTGTGCTGAGGCCGAGAGTGCCATTTTAATACAGATAATGTGGGCATTTTTCTGAGGATTGTGAAATATTTGTTTTGAAGTTTTGGGAGATATTAGTTTCCAAACCCCTGTCTTAGTAAAGATGTAGGAAGAAATTAAGGACAGCACTGACAGATCAAAGCAGGGCTGGTAGGCATTCCAGGTTTGGTAAAAATGGGAAGTTTGAGAATAAGAGACAGAAGAACAAGTTTGTAAAACCAGCTTCTGAGGTTTAACAAATGAAGCCACTTAAAAGGGAATGTTGAAATCACTCAGATACTAGAAGCTGGGTAGAACACAATTTATTGAACAGATGTATTTGGAATGTATTGAATTTGCATTTTCCCTCTGTGATTTGTACATTAAAATATTTGCCATATCCTTATTTGTTATGAAGGTAGAATGAATGTGCTTTTCTTTGAACATGTGCTTCACTTGCCTTTCACTGAGTCAAAGTTATTTTGCAAACAGGGTTCCATTCAAACGTTATCGCCTGATCCGATAACAGTAACAGGTAGGACTTCTAGAGGCTTTTCTAATCATGTAATAATTCAGTAAATTCTCACAACAATCACAGGAGAGAGTCAACATTACCATTTCACAGCTGGACGCTGAGGCTTGGAGAAGTTCAGGAATTCTTCCAAACCTCACACAAGTCGTAAAAGTCGTATAACCAAGATGTGAACCTAGTTAGCCCTGCTCCTGCCTTCCTGCTCTTAACCAATTTATCAAACCAACTAGCAGAGCACATTGTTTTACTGAAACTGCACATGTTATTCTAGAGTTTGCAACTTAAATCCAAGACAGCACTTTTTTTCCCTTATATTCTCAGGTTTTAGTCATCTAACTTATTTCTACAGATCAGTATATTTCTATCATAAATATACTGATGTGTAAGCATGCTGATGCCAGTGCAGCATCTAGGCATGAGAACGGAATGTATTACCTTGAAGCACCCAAATCTGGTCCGTGGGTTAAAGAGTAGTATGGCTACTTCTTGTCCTCTTGACACTCTGGCACAGCCCTTTTAAGCTATGAGAGAATATTAGTATTGATGTATGTCCAAGTCACTGATGCCTTACCTTTTCTTGAATGCTCTCCAGCGCCTCAGAAGCAGCGTGATGCTGAAGATAAACTATAAGAAGAGGGCTGGAAGTGTGAGAGGGCTACGCGCACGGGAGATGTGGACCAGAACAAGAAGGCTGGAGCCACAGTGGATGTCTGGTTTGGGAACTCGCTGCAGCTCCTAGAAATTACCAGGTGGCATGTTAGAACTGAAGTCTGCTGAGCCTGTTACGTGAACTGCAAACATAGTTTGGAGTCAGAAGGTCCGGCATGTGGGCCAGCCATGGGGACACTCTTGGGAAAGGGCAGTCTTACCAAATCAGTCCCTGCAACAGGGAGCAAGGAGTCTTCTTAGTTCATCCAAATCTCATCTCTAGCCATCTGGCGTGGGTTCCAGAGAGTTTGTGTGGTACCGAGTTAGAACCCTGAGTTCCCAGTAATAAAAACAGGATGAAATGATTGAGGGACTTGACTTTTCCCTAGCAAGCCGACTTCCCTGTATCCACCAGCTCCTTCCTCTTCTCCAACATGTTATGAAAGCTAAAGGATCTGTGTTCATAGCAATGTCTTCTGTGCCTGACCTTCAGATGACATACCATAGGCTTCCTTTTGAAGAATCAATGCTGTTTGACATCCTAAGTAATGTGGACGTAATGTGTAAAGATGTACAGTGGAAGTTTTGATTTGAAGCCTGGTAATAGGCTTCACAGTTTTGTTTCCTGGTTAGGAGTATTTTCATGGTTGCCACCAGAATGCCTACGTAGGGAAAAAAAAAAGGGAGGGGTGTTGAGGAAGAAATGACAGGGGCAAATCTTGATAAAAGTTTAATTCACTGACAGTCAATAGGAGAAAAGACATTACCAGCTGCATATATTAGCACATTATTAACACCCACTCAGGTTTTGAATATCCATTTAAAATAACTTAATTAAAACCCAGTTATAGAAACTTTCCACACTAACAATGAAACATCTATTTTATGATCATTCTACATGTCAGTGGACTTTAATTTTTAAAAATGAACTGCAGTGCCTTTTAAAAAGAGCACTAAAAGGGAAAACCTACATAATACTCATACTGTTTCAAAGATATTTTTGCCTTGATTTGAGAACATGAATTCTAGTCGTCCTCTCTGATATGGGGAAAACAGAAAGCATTCTAAGCAGAGGATGGCTGTTAGTATTTGTCCTGTTTAAAGAAATTTTCATCTTAGGCACATTAAGGAACTAAACTACAAAATTTGTGTTTTGACAACTGTGTAAGAAATTAATTTTTAAAATATATACATATTATGTGTGATGTTTTTATAACATGCCATCCAATTATAACTTTTTAAAAGTATTTGTTCAGAAAAAAATTAATTTATTAAGCATTTTAGAAACCCTGATAAATGTAGTAATATGAATATAAAGCAAGCTTTCCAGAAAATCACTTTCCATTTTCTATTTTTGGCCAGAGTCCTCTTTCAGCCAATAGAGGGGTGAGCCAGACCTCACAATGTGAAGATGGTGCCTCTTGTTCCTGGCTCACAAAGAATTTGGTGCCACATATTCCTCTGCTTGTCACAGACCTCAATCTGGTTCAGCATCCACGTGTGTGCTGTGCCCAGCATCCCCTCTTGGGAGCCAGCATCCGTCACAGCTTCCATGAATAGCAAGTTATCCTAAACTGTCTATTGGATCCCATTAGATTGTAGGCTCCTTTAGATTTCTTTAGATTGTGCACTTTAGGACTTCCGAAATAAGAATGTAATTCCAAACCAAAAATAAAGTAGTACCAGTGTCTATTTCACCTAAATGCTTACAGATACAGTAGCTCCTGTGCTCCTTACCTTTGTTGTTTTCATGATGTACATGGAGCTGTCATAGCTGTTGGCAGAACTAACACATGACTGGATTATAAGCAAACTTTGAAAAGAAGGGTTTATGCTTTTAACGTTAATGCAAAATTGAAAGATTTGAGTTTCTCACTTAAGAATGTCAATAACACATTTGTTTATTTCCTACCTCCCTCAAACAAATTTTTCCTTGCACAATATATTTGTAATATATGAGTGCGCAAACACGTCAGTGTTTACACATTGGAAAACTGAGATTTTAGTATTAATGTTGCCATTCAGCTTTTCGTCAGGCTTTTCCTGCTCAGAAACATTTGAGTTTTCCCTATTTTCTACATCATCAATCCCAAACTCCTCTATCTGGTCATCAATCCACCCCCTCTCCAAGCAGGCTCCACCCGTCCCATCAAATATATTCTTTGAGTTCCCAATGAGCACACACTTATCAAGCCCTTCTCCCTCACCTGTGCTCACCTGCACCAATCTCCAGGCAACTCTCTCAATTCAAAAATCAAACATTCTCTAGAATAGCTCAGTCCTTACATAATCAACTTCCTAATTTAGCACTGAATTTGATATTTAGTTATACATTGCATCAATTTGTAATATGATGCTATTATTTAATTATTTTCTATGTGTCACTCTATTTTCCTCAACTGTTCTGGAAGCATAAACAACTAAATCATGAAGGGGTAAGTATGAAGTTCAGAAATAATCAAACTGTTAGCAATGCCATTTCCCGGGTTGGGGGCCGAGCGGGTTGGGATGACTGAAAGCAGAAGACAACTCCGGAACCTGCTCATTTCCAGCAAGGACAGCGATAAGTAACTTCTCCTAGCAGCAGCCCCATCCTATAAATACTCAAGCCCTCACCCTACCAAGGGGTCATTTGCTGTCCTGGTTGGGTCCTGAGAAATCAGGGTTGGGGAAGTAAAGAGAGGAACAGTCTCTCATCAATTTAGGACTTTCCATTGTTATAATCTCATTGCTCCAAGAGTTGTTTAAAGACACGGTTGAATGGAATTAAGTCTGCCCTTATTTTTCAACCCAGATGGAAAAAAAAAAAGTGAAGCATTCATGGAATACAAATCTAAGATGACTTTTCTGAAATTGTATTTTCTTCCTGGAAATGGCATAGCAAAAGCTATAACAAAATGTTTATAGAATTTTAATATATTAAGTTGTAAGTAAAATGCATGCATTTGAAATACATTTATCATAATTTTATATAGTTTTATAGCGTTAAGCATATATATATATATATATATATACACACCTCTATATTTATATAGATTTCTTTGTATAGATCTATCCAGACACGACTCTTTAAACTTTTATATATTTTAATCTCCAGTGAGAAATACCAAAGTGAAATAGGTCATTTCTTTCCATGGTGGAGCTGATGGCTGACTCCAAGCTATGACCAAATGATCTCTCTTTGAAGCCAGATGAGAAATATGAACATGGGCTTATTTTTCCTTATGTGTATCTTCAAGAGTCCATTAATAATTCTGCTTTCATAATGATGAGAGTTAACTTTTAGAAAAATTTATTTTATGCAAAAAAAAAAAAAAAGACTAAGAGAAGAGGTCTTTGTCTCTTCAAGATGACATAACTTTGGCTGTGGAATTTTTTTAAATCTTAGAGGACAATTGTGTGTCTGGGGGGAAAAACGGGGACTGACTCAGAATGCTGTAGTTAAAACATCTCCAGTTACCTTACACTCTGAAGACATGAAATATGTTCCAACTGTTGGAAACTTTCAGTTAAAACCAATCTGAGTTTTTCTGCTCAAAGTCATTAATTCAGTTTGTTAGACCCAGATTCTCTCTTTCTTAACAAAGTGGAACATAAACAACTCAGACTTCCCTAAGAAAATTAAAGAGTGGTAGATAAGGTCCTTATACATAATTTCTAATACTTATTTATGCTTACTCTGTATC